AAGGTACATCTCGCTTCAACACAGCTCACCGTCAAAATCACACGTTTTCAATGTATTAAAGTAGGAAGGCTATCCATTGTGGCGATTGGTCCATTTCAGAATAATATATATGATAATGTTTTATAATGATTGATCCATTAATGTGTTATCAAACTGGCTAAGGTGCAGCTAGTTGAATGACTTTGTATACTGGTGGAACTAAAGTCTGATTTTACACTTGATTATGTTTCAACATTATGATCCAGATCGGCAAAGTATTAAATATACATGTAGTGGAGTAAAAAGTACACAATTTTACCTCTGAACTGTAGTGGAGTAGAAGTACTAGGTAGAGCTAAACATTTAAATACTTAAAGTGGACCCGTTATGCTATATTCAGGAAAAATATCAGTGTAGGCCTATACCTATACACAAAACATGTCAGTGAAGTTTCTTTTGCTTAAAATACAGTTGCGGCCATTGTAGCACGAGAGTCGGTCGAACGCTGGACGGGAGCACTAATTGAGCGCAGGCTCCCGACCATGAGCACGAGGAAGGGAGGCAGAGGCAGATACGTCCAATAACAACCCGTGGTGGAGCATTTATTCATGCATTTGACTTCATGATCTCACAGCCATAAAATAAATTGCCTGTCCACCTCGAACACAGTCAGCAGCCACAAGGATCTCACAACGCTAACAGGAAAACAGGAACCTAAATACACCCAGACTAATCAAACCAACAACACGAAAGGTGAGGGGGGGAGGAGACAACACACATGGTGAACACAATCACCAGCAACAAGCAGACAAAGACGGGAGGGGGAACACTTTTCCAAAATATAAAACAGGAAACAGAGACGGACAAACTAAAACATAGACAGATCGCGACAAACAGATGAATAAATTACATGTATATTCACATTCTTCCTGTGCAATGTTTTATGGTAGAACACATCAATATACTTTGCCAAATATGAAGCTATATTATTACCGTAATGGAGGCCGAGATCTATGGCGACCAGAGATCACCTCCGTTACAGTAGCCATGCCCTCATACTGCTCAAACCCCACTTTTGCAGCCTTGTTAGAAGAAATGCGATTTTTGGGTCCTTAGCTTGGAGGGAAAAAAAGAAGAGGAGGCGGGAGCTTAAGCCTGAATAAGAATTCTACCGGAGATAAAGTTAAATTCTGGCTGTGATAAAACGCCATCCTGTTCTAAACCACATCAAAGATTATTTCTGAAACAGTATGGAGCTCAAATGCTTTTTCTCTTGCGGGTTTATCACAAGGTGAGTTCCTTTTTTTATTTTCTGCTTTTTAAACATGTGGTCTACAGTACAGGTTAGCTCTGAGTGTTAGCGAGGCTTGCTAATGTAACCAAAGACGAGATTACGTCCAAAACACGTCAGGCATTGTTTCTGATAGCAATTTTCTGTGGGTCCGCTGCCGATTTGATGTCAGATCGGCAGCAAATCTGTATCCGCTCGTTGTAAACCCGTTTTTAAAAGATTTTATTTTCTGACGCTGCATGAGTTCCCCGACGCACCGGGGACACATATTTATGTATAAAAGACATCACAAAGTGCATTTTGCATGATAGGTCCCCTTTAAGTATAGCACAAGTATCTCGAAATTGTACCCAAGTATAGTACTAAATATCATGGAGTGTGGACTGCTACTTGGAGAGGTCCCAGGTTCACCTCCTGGGCCCTGCCGTGGTGCCCTTGAGCAATGCACCGGACACCCTCCCATAACGTTTCTGTTATTATTACCACTGCTGCTTCAGTTGTTCTGACTGCTAAAATCCTCTGTTATTCCTCATTTTAAAGCCAATATTCCGTGGGGGGGATCCGGGGGCTCGGATCCTTGTCCCCTTTTTCATACCTGATGAGTTTGCATCCCTGTAATACCTATTGCTTTTGTCTCGTTAACTTTCTATACTTTCTATATGTGATGAACCTTTACTCTTACAATGAATGACTTTCTCTTCAGATTGCAGGTTTATCCTCTGCACTCCTCTGTGACTCTAGAGGAGCAGAACTGCGTGTTTCTGTCACCTGTCCCTGGATACAGAAAGGTAAGAAAAAAACCATTTACCTTATTGGTCTTATGTGTTTCTGGTAAGTGCCAGCACAATTATCTCTTCATCTTTACAGGTCATCCTTTCCACCAACATTGCTGAGAGTTCGGTGACTGTCCCAGATGTCAAATACGGTGAGTTTTCTTGTCCTCAACTAGGATTTATGTATTGGCTGAATGTGTGATTAATAACAATAATATCTAAAATGTGATTGCTGCATTTTATTTCTCATCACAGTGATTGATTTCTGCCTGGTCCGTCACATGGTCTGCGATCAAGATACCAACTATCAGTCTCTGCGCCTCACCTGGGCATCCAAAACCAACTGCAACCAGCGTCGGGGTACAGTATACCTACAGCTCAGAAGTGTACCTCTCATTTCTGTCAACACTTTGAACTCTTTCCTCTCTCTGTCAGGTAGGGCAGGTCGAGTGTCGAAGGGCTACTGCTACCGCCTTGTGACCAAAGAGTTCTTTAAGAATGAAATCCCAGACTACATGATCCCTGAGATGCTGGTAAAAGAACGTACACATGACCAGAGTTTTTGTATTCTTTATTTGATTCGACCCCTATAAGACAGCTAATCTGCGCTACTCTTTGCCTTACTCTCAGCTCGCCCCGCTGTCCAACATCATGCTGAAGGTGAAGCTGCTGGATATGGGAGATCCCCGCTCCATCCTCTCCACGGCACTCTCACCCCCCAACCTTGGTGACATAGTGAGGACAGTCCTGCAGCTCAAAGAGGTCAACATGCAGATTTATCATTCTTCTCTTAGAGAGCCATTACTGTTAAGTCAAGTACTTATGAATGTGTGGCTCTAAGGATGTATTAGAGCGAACTGCTGACTACCCAGCTCTGTCACACAGTATTAGACCAGGAGTTCTCTCTAACGGGAGCTTTGTGTCAGCCAGAGTCTGCATAAATATGTAACGTGAGAGTAATGAGGGGCAGTGTTGTGTCAGTGTACTGTCTTTCAAAATTAGTTGACAAAAAAATCAAAATCAGTGACAGAAACGTAGATAAAAGTTGTTTTGATCAAAAAAACTTTCAAATGTATTTATCAAAAGAGGTAACTTTAAAAGATGTTATTGTATTTGAACTAATGCTGTCAAAATTTAACGGCGGTAATTAATTTTTTGAATTAATTGCGTTAAAATATTTAACGCATTTAACGCATGTGCAGAATGGCCCGCCCCATACATCCCACCAGTGGCAGCGCTGGGGTAGGCTACACCCATACCAAGCAATGGCTTAGTCCCACCATGAAAAATGATGTTAAAGTAAGCAAAATAAAGTCCGCCAACTCGCGCCGAGAATTGCAGACAGCAGTTAGTAAGATTGATTTCAGTAGCCACTTGTCTGGAAATACCGAAGAGCAGAAACGGTTTTGAAAACTTTTGTCACGTAGTGATTGTCTTCTCAATAGAATATCTTTGATAATGTCTTCTGGCCAATCAGAATCAAGATAACGGTGTGGTGTTGTTGCAGGAAGTCCCGACGGAGAATACTTTTGCTGTAACATAACTGGTACGCAGGTTATGTGCGTAATCTGAAATGCGTACCGTCACTTGTGTGACAAAGCGCCTTTTCGTACCGACGTACTTGTGAAGCTTTTCCAGAAGGCGGTTAGATCACCGGACGGCAGAGTCGGTCTCCGTGTGCACAGACAGGGCTGCTGTTAACGTCGGTCTGTACAACGGAATTGTGTCAAAACTACGCCAACTGGCTGCGGAGGGAGACTCCTCCCCTTCACTGGAGAACTGCGCTAAAGCAGCTGATCACAACGTTCACACTCTGTGGTCACGAAGTACCCCCCACCCCCCCTTACATACTGTATGTTATACTGCATATTTTGGACATAGTTCGAATGGTGATTAATCATGATTAATACATTTTTTAACTGTGATTAATCTGATTAAAATTTGTAATCGTTTGACAGCCCTAATATATATATATTGTCTTTAGATGTATTTTCTAGTGGTATAGAATTTGCATAATGATGAACATTTTTTACTCTAAGCTAAGTTTGCCTGAAAGAAATTTGCTTAAAAACAGGAAAAGTGATGAAACATGAGGTTTACTATTAACCTGCATGACATATAAGTCTTTATGTGTGGATTTGTTTATGTTGTGAACAAACACTATAATTTAGTATGCAAGGAGAAGATTAGGGTGAAGAGCAGAAATGATGAAAGGAAAGCGGGGAAGTAAGAAGTTGTGAACAGAATGTCCTCTTTGTGATGACATAACTAGGGTAACATTATTTGTCAACACTGGACAGATGAAGAATATATTTATGTAAAAGAAACAATTTCTCACCATTATTTCTCGCAGCCAAGCACAGGTCACTTTGCGGAACTCCGCATCTGCTTTGTGGCACAACACAGGCCAGCAGTGCCTAAACAAAAACAAATATATCAAAAGTTATAACAATAATTCCAAGACATTATATGTGAATTCAAATAGGTAATGATGACTAACTTTACCTGTATGCTTCATTAAATCGTGTTGGGCTGAGTCTCTCCAAAAGGAAATGGGTTACTATGTAGAAGGCATCCTTGTTTGGTTTGTCGAACATATTCCTGTTGGCCATAAAATAACAATTAATCAGAGGTGGAAAAAGTACTTAAGTCAAAGTAGAAGTACCAGAGTGTAGGAATACTATGTTACAAGTACAATTCCTGCAATCAAAATGTTACTCCAGTTAAAGTAGCAAAAAGCTTGGCATCAAAATATACTTAAGTAGCAAAAGTAAAAGTACTCATTATGCAGATTGGCACATTTCAGAATGATATATATCGTATGTTTTGATTATAGTTATTGATGCATTAGAGTGTTATCAAAACTGGTAAAGGTGCAGCTAATCCTTTGTTTACTGCCTGGTAGCTTGAAGATTTTACTCCAGGTGTAAATAAGTCTTATTTAAGTGTTTACATTACACATCATTCATCCAAATCTGCAAAGTTACGAATGCTATTAAATACATGTAGTGGAGTAGAAGTACACAATTTACCTTCGATTTGTAGTAGAGTAGAAATACAAGTACCTCAAAATTGTACTTAAACACAGTACTTGAGGTCATTTACTTAGTTAGACCACTACATTTAACCAAGTTATGATACAGTCAAAAGTGAAGCACTGAAAACGAACATTTAAATGTAACAAAGTATTTGTTACCAAAGTTGAGTTGTCGTTATCACTGCTACACAGCCACAGGACAACCCATTGTTAAGTAAGCTAACATTACACAGTATTTACATGCTATTCACAATAAAAGCTGACTCACGGTCCCAGGTTGATGCGTTTGGCGGTTAAGTTGAGTTTGTCTGGTTGAAGTCCTAACCCGAGAAGAGCAAACCACAAGTATTTTCCACTCTTCTTCTGCAACAATACCGGGTTCGCCATTATCTCGAGATGGAGGAAACGGGTGGCTGGCTAACGTTGTTGTTCAAAGCTAGTCAGCTAGCTTTAGCTGCTAGCTGCAAAGTTTACTGTCGGCTAACTTGTTTTGAGTTGTCACACATAAACATGCAAAAATATTAACAAACACTGCAGATACACATACATACATATTGTAAAAGCATGTACAGTTAAATATAGTTTGAGTTCACATTTGTTAGGTAAAAGTTCTCAGATTTAGTCAGGAAAACGAAAACGCAACAGCAAACCGCCAATTTTTCCAATAACCACCCGGATGTTGTTAACAAATACTTCCGGCGATTGAACGGCAAAGGTTGCGGTGGAATAGTCCAAAAATCAGCTCCTAACGACTATCCCTTTACTTCTGAGTGAAACGTCATGGGGTTAGAGATAGTGGATAGGAGAATTCAAAATGACTTAGGAGAAGAGAATGCGGTACTTAGAGAATCCGACTGCACTTTCACTATCC